TTGCTTGACTCCATGCCCTCGACAGTACCCCAGCCCAGGGCTAAGATACTATCTGATGGTGGAAACGATAAGTGTGGAGTATCCTCCTGGCGACGGCTGGGCTCCATCATTGCTAATACCTTCAAATCATTAGTGAGCAGGAAGAGGCCTAGAGTAGATGATGACACGCCAGAGGAACACAGCAGGCCAACAACGCGACGGAGGCAGGCGTCTGAGGGCTATGGCTATCATCAGCGAACGACAGCTGCGGAACACTCATCCACGGCTATGAATTCGGTCTGGTAACGGAGATGTAGAGGTCTAATACTCTACCTAGCATTCTGTTCAGGCGACCACCACATACTACGTTGCATAGCAAGAATGCGAATCGAAATAGCCATCTGGGGAGGCGAGCATCCACTGATAATAATGGCGTATTGCTTGATATAGAAGCATGTCTGCCTAGCTATCATTTATTCATGGATACATTCCCTGGTCCTCCTGCTACCTCTGTGAACCTAGACTCAGCAGTTTGTCGAAGATTGTCCCTTGGAAACATCCCAGCATCCGATCGTGGGCCGTCACTGATGAAGCGTCGGGCGAGCGACCCCGCATTGGCTTTGCTATCCATTGATCGAACGGATGAGGCGGAATGGCAAAGGAGGATGGATGATCTCCAGATGCGCAATGATATCCTCACGTCTGCCTGTCTTCACTCTCTGCAATTCAATGGTGGTACTGTGAATGACCATCATGCTGTACAAATGGTGGAGACGCGACCTAAAGTGGCTTTTAATAGCGGTATTAAGGAGATCATGACCAGGAGGAGGTGTTGGCGGCATCAAACCCCGGAGACCCGTCCAGCAATGAAGTACACATCAGTAAAACAAGATGCTGAGCAGAATAAACCTAGTAAAGAGTACACTCTCGATGAGTATAGGCAGGCTGCAGAGCAGTCAGCTGCCTCGGAGGGATATATTGTCAAAATGGAAGAGGTAAGGCTCTTGGGTCTTCGTTGAACTGCCCAGTCATGTTATCGCTTCTAGTTCGAGAAGAAGAAAACTGATCTTCAAGAGGACTATAATAAACTCAAGACCCAAGAGTTGTCATTGAGAAAAGATAATGAGAAGAAAGGTATTACGGTACACCACGTGTTATGTCGTCATTCCAATATCCCCTTACAGCTCCGGAAGTTGCTGTCGAAGTACCTGATCATGCTGTACTGAGACGACCATCATGGATGATATTAACTGACGAGGAACGTATGGATGCTAGGGCATTGCTGTGCCGGACAGGGTAGTAGTAGTATCGCTCATGATCATCGATAGCTTTGTAATAACAGTATGTCGCCGTTTATTTGTTATGCACACTGCTATGGGTGTTAGCTGATGGAGTGCACTTGTGCAGGTCAGAGTTACTGGCCCCCAAACAGTATAATATCGACATAACAGCACATGCACTGTCGTGCCTACAGCAGGGACGATGGCTCAATGATGAGGTGGTCAACTATTACTTCATGATGCTACAGGTAATGATGATAGGTTAGTACATATAGAGTACACAAAAAGGTTTTATATCATAGGATCGGAGTGATCGTCATAAAAGGAAGCTCCCACGAGCATTCCTTTGGAACTCGTTCTTCTGGCAGAAGCTCAGCTCCAATGCCTCAGGCGCATACTCGTACAAATCAGTTGCGAGGTATAATACACCAGCAGCAGGAGAGAGTCCATCGTGATCCCTGTCTTAGGTGGTCCAAGCGGCGGCATGCTGATATCTTCTCCTTCGATATGATGATAGTGCCAATCCATGTTGGGAAAACAGTAATTACAGTTCATCGTCTGATAACTTGGTCGATGAGAGCTTGCTCGAATCTTCCTCCTTCTCTTCAGCACTGGGCCCTTGGTGTGGTAGACTTGAAGGATTGTACACTGAGCTACTATGACTCACTTGGAGCATCTCATCCGAAGTTTTACGAGTACACATGGAACCGGTATAATGTCGGTACTCATATAACGTAGTTACATATCTCGTTATATCGAGGATGAGCATAAGGATAAGGGTTCTAATGCCCCATTACGGAAGCCTAGTGAATGGCAACGACGTGATGCGGTTATCACACCTACTTGCACTGTA